ACCGCGATACCACCTGATACCCCACGCAGTATAACCGATTATGCAAATTACTTGCGGAACAAAATGAATGACATTTATGAGCACGTCAGACAATGGGGCCAGCAAATGTCTGAGAAGATGAAAACCCGGTACGACCGCAAAATGAACAATAAAGGCTTCGACGTAGGTTCACTAGTGTGGTTGCACAATTCAGTCCGCAGCAAAGGGAAATCTCCTAAGCTTCAAGCTAAATGGGACGGCCCGTACCGGATTGCAACCAGGATCAACGATGTAACCTACCGGATACAGAAAGGCGCAAGAGGGACTCCTAAGATCGTCCATGTGGATCGCCTGGCGCGTTATTATGGGGCCGATAATGCTCGGGACGAGCATTGTCTTAGGAGGGGGCAGTGTTGCGCGGCTAAGTTGACATGTGGCACTAGCGCCATCTAGTGCCGGGTAACAGAGCGAAGAGAGAGCTTTCCAGAAAGCAACATCACTAATCTTACAACCGACAGCGCCATCTGTTATCGAATTGAAGAACTAAGCTTTCTGGAAGCCCCAAACTCGAACTTTCTACATTACGCCTACCGGTATGAAGCTGCCACTCGAGAACCCACTTCCCCATCGGTTATCGGTTCTTCGAGCTATATGGCCGGCCCATTGCCACTACTAATCCGTTGGGCTATGTCGGTCACTCTGGTTTTACTGCGGATATCCTCATTTCTGAGTCTATCTTGCAGAGAAACTCCGAGCATAGCCCTCTCCATAGCTCGCTGAGCAACCTTGAGCGTCCTCATACGGCCAGCAGTGAAGGACCACGTCTCTGATCCGTAAGTCATCACTGGCAACACGCACTGGTTGTACACTTTAGTTTTCAGAGATTGAGGTATACCTGACGAGAAGATGTGTCGTAATTTCCTGAACGCTGCCCAGCCGAGTTGAATCCGTCGATTGACCTCTCGATCGAAGTTGGACTTACCTAGTCGGACTATTTGTCCCAGGTAAACGTACTCGTCAACAACTTCGAGCATAGCGCTGCCCACAACTACCGGCATAGGTGTGACATGGATATTGAACATAATCTTTGTTTTGAACAACACCTATTGCTTTGATATCGTGCATTTTATAATTTTATAAGCATTTTATAATTAAATATTATAATTTAACATACGTATAAAGGTTACTTGAATGTATTATTTAATTTATTAGTTACTAAAAGTAAAACATGATAGTGTCCGTGAATAAAATATTATTAAATGGATGAGGGATGAAGTATATAATTCCAGTCACTGTTTAATTATCTTAGAGTAACTGCATACACTCGTATTATAGACAGTTTGTAAAAAAAAAGTCTGGAGTGTAGTCCGACGTCCACAAGTCAAAAATATATATTCGAATGAGAACTGGCGAAATTGAGCTGGAATCATTTATAAATGGAGGTATAAACGGGGGAGAATGAATTAGGAGGGGAAAGGTGCGGTACTGCATTTTCCATGAGCTCACCGTCGGTAGCTAGATCTGGTTTATTACATATGAGCATGTAACACAACTTTGATTTCTACACTTAAATACATTATTTTATTATATACCTATGTAAGAATTTAGTAAACTATTGCATACCTGTTTTGGCTGGTCTACCGCTTATATTTTGCCATGAACAATGTTTATGTTATTTATGATTAATTTACTTTTAAGAAACTAAACTGATATACTTATAAATTGCACCTAGATTTTTAATGCCATTGACACAAAATTTTATATACCGATGCAACCATTTTTAATAACTACGATTTAATGTATAACTTTGTATAATATATAATATTTTGTACAATAATGTATAGTTACCGTAACCCTTAAAATAATATTGTTAATACAACTCAATCTTTTCTTAAAAATATTTTTGAACGATGAATCCGGGGGTATGTTTTTCATTAAATGTTTTTAATTATAAAAATAAATTTTTAAGGCACCGTTTTTGATTTGAATAAGCAGTATCATAATGAATACAATCTGTCCGGTATACCTTACAAAACTTTTTACAAAATCTGTTTTAAATATTCGATACGCATTTCATATGATGTCAGTCCTTTATTTTAATAAAAGAGTAGTTAGATAATTATAACATATTAGGAGAAATTTAAGCCGGTGGGATATATTTTTTACTACTTTTTACTTTTACTTTTATTTAGTATATTTGTTTGTTATGTAAAAAAATTAAAATAGATATGATATGATTTTTTTAAATTCATTTCGTTCATTAACGTTATGATATATGTACTATATTGAAATAAGAAACCTTTTCTAGAGAATCAAAGCTCAGAATTAGGGTGAATTTTTCATAAGGGCGCAGGTAGAGTGTGAGGTGGGGTGCGCGAGGGAACTGAAGTCGCCGGCGCGGTTTGCATATTGCATTAGATTTAAATTGTTTACGTCGTTAAGAAAGAAACTTCACCCGAAGTGGGAGGGTACATCCCGTAAGAAACTTTTTTAAGAGTGTCGGTAAATTTAATTTACTGTAAACATTTATAAAGCTATTTCACTGTATTCTTATTAAGAAATTAAAACTAATTACATATTAATTTTATCTTTTCTCTGATTCGTTTAACATGACTGAATTTCATTTTCACAAAGAATTAAGTTAAATAATAAAGATAATGAAACGAATACTACAAAGTCAATGGATTTGCACAGCAAAAAGTGTGATGTGTTAGATATATACGAGATAATACTAATACGTGCTTGCAATGTGCCTAATGAAAGTCCATACTAGCAGGGAGCATTGGTTTTAACCCTTCAAGCGCCATAAAATCCCATGCATCGCATGTGCCCGGCATATCCCGAGCGGTCGCATGCAGCCGCACCCACCCACAGCACTTAAAACCATTAAAACTTACATTTAGAGACTACTTTTCTATGAAAAAGCTTAGCATTAAAAAATCTATACACAATTCTTTATCTTGTGTTTTAAACAAAAGTCAGGTTTTACTTCATTACAAAAAGATTTTATTGTATTTTCATACCAAAAAAAAAAAACATACTAAGCGAATGTCGGCAGCGTGAAAACCACATTTATTTCAATATATATTAGCAGATATATATACAAGCAGATAAATTATATTTACACAAAAACTTTCATTACAATTTTATACTAAAACACTATGTATACTAAAACACTAATAAAACATTAGAAAAATCCAAAAATCAACACAATAACATTCACGCGAAAATGGCGTACGAAATAACCGTAGATTATAAGTAAATATTCATAGGATAACAGTTTTTTTATTGTACTAGAGGATAGAATATTTTATATTGATTATATAATGCCAAACTTCTTCATATAAAAGTAGTCCCTATATAAGTTTTTATGGGTTAAAGTGCTGTGGGTTGGTGCGACCTCATGAGACCGCTAGGAATTTGATGGAATATGGCCGCGGTCTCATGAGACCGGTAGGGGGTTGAGAGGTTAAAAAATTTAAGAACTAATTTTACTGTGACTAAGTCTATTTGTGAAATAATACATGCCAAGAATTACATTCTGAAAGTGCCGAAATGATACCATTCAAAATGTTCAAGTATAGAATATCAATATATTAAAAGGGTCGAACTTGATGCTTGCACGCTTCACTGCAATTGTTCTTTAAAAATTTTAAGTGTTTATTTACCACGTACTGGCCGGTAAAGAGAAACATCGTCAAAAAACCTTAGAAAATTAACAATATTTCGAAAACATGGGAAGTCTGTATGTAAGCTGTTTATTAACCCTTTAAATGTGCATGCCTCGTATGTCCATTAGTCTATAGGGTTTATACCTCAACAAGTCCACTGCTGTACTTACACCTTCCCCGTATAATGCCATATAACTCAAACAACTTTTCGCTAACTGTATGTAGAACCATATCTACACATTGCTTACAGGTACGAGGCTGAAAACGAATAACTGTTGACTGTTAACTGTTATAATCACTAAAAACCTCGAAAAAGAGGGGTTTTCAATAGCCGTTGGTAAATTATGAAAATATACAATAGCAATAACCTAAAAAAATCGTCACGTGGGTGTCGTAAGAGTCTACGGAAAAATCGAGTGAATCTATGACAGAAAATCTTATAGCTTGCTTTAGATAGGGATATACCAATCTCGTTTTAGTCAGACGTAAATTACCCATATCAACGACAGTTTGCAACTTCAAAGATCTAGACGTATAGTTTTGTGATCTGACAACCGTATATTTTACAGGATAGATAAATTTCTATAAGGGTTCACAAGTTGACAAATGTTAAGATATAAGAACATCATAAAACCATATTCTATGTTTATTTAAAAAATCAAACACTTTTGTAATTAGATCATCTTAATCAATCACATCTTATAAATTTCATTTTCGTATTCATATAAGCCAATGTTAACAGTTAAGATATTTTTAGATTTAAAATTAAAGGGATACAACGAATGACAAAGTTATACCCGAGTTAAATATTATTTTAAGTTTCGATAACGTACATAGTGTTATGAAACATTTCACTTTCGACACAATGCAATTACAGACAAATACAACGTCATATCAGATAGGTACTGACAATTGATGTTTTACCATTGTTCTGTAATGAAATGTACACAACGTAACTATGAGTGACATTACAATTTAATAAAGCTAAATAGATTTATACTAGTTTCGATTTAGCAGTGCCGATGAACACGCAAAAGAGCTACCATGAAGTATATATTAATATTATCAATAATTTTAATTTTTAAGAATAAAAGTGTCGCTGCTAATAATATATTTCATTATGTCACAGAGAAAATGAGTGACTTTGTCGATACAATAATTTATACATTTAGAAATATCAGTGATCGAGTATCCAAATTCTTTCAAAGTCATGTGAAAATTGTAAAAGCAACAAGACCGCCAAAAAAATATTATAAAAGTGAAAGAAGCGCTAGTACTCACAAACCCGTCAAATTAACAACTAAAGAACATACTACAATTAGTGAAATAATTCCGTCGCGTCACTTCAAAATGAAATCTGATCCAACGTCTTACATGTCAACACCACAACTTATTACTTTACATGGGAGGCGAGTGGAATCGCATATTGTCTTAACTGAAGATGGGTATTTTTTAACTTTACATCGAGTAATGACACCACATGTTCAAAGTGTTTCGGAGCTTGGAAACAAAACAGTACTGTTACATCATGGACTACTCGGCAGTTCTGCTGATTGGATTTTACTTGGACCAAAAAAATCTTTACCATATCTTCTCTCTAACCTTGGCTACGACGTGTGGATGGCAAATGCAAGAGGTAACATTTATTCACGTGGACATGTTTCGAAAGATACCAATTCATCAGATTTTTGGAGGTTCTCTTGGCAAGAAATGGGACAGTATGATCTACCAGCAATTATTCATTATATTAGATTAGTTAAAAATACTAGCGACCCTATAAGTTACGTAGGACATTCTATGGGAGCTACCGCTCTTCTTGTCTTGTTATCAACGGAACCCATTTTTAATTCCTACCTCAGTATTGGAATTTTGCTGGCACCACTTGCATTTATGGTAAATAGCCAGGGGCCACTAAGAATGTTTAGCCCAGTTGCTTCTCGACCACCACCATTGCTTTTGCAAGTTGTGGGTGACGGAGAATTTATGCCTTCAAAGGAAACACCAGATTGGTTGGCATTTCGACATTGCACTGGTCCTCAAATATTTTGTAAAAATCCACTACTATATCTTACTGGCGGGATACTTCAAGAACAATTTTGGGATGAAGGCCTGAAGAATAGAGTACTGAATCATGTTCCAGCTGGTGGTTCAACTTACACTATTCTACATTATGCTCAAATTGCTAAAAATGGGAAATTTCATAAGTTTGGCGACGTCGTCGCCGAGTTTCCTTTAAATAGAATAAGTTTACCAATAGCCTTAATAAGTTCTAGCGACGATTGGTTGGCTACTGTACCAGATGTTAAAAGGCTATATTTCGGTCTTTCGAATCCTATTGATCATCATGTCGTAAGGAATAATAATTTAAGTCATACAGAATTCGTGTGGGGACCAGGTGCTGATGTTTTGGTATTCAGAAAAGTTATTGATTATCTTCAAAATGGATTAAGTTTGAGCGTGATCAAGTTAAATGTAGTTTAAATATATAAAAATAATATGTATTTTTTTATTTTTTTAATTAAGTGAATATAAAGGATTTAGTTTAGATCGAAATCATAATTGGTTTTATGGAACTATATTGTATTGTTTTACAAATAAATAAATTTAAACGCTAAATTATTTCATATTATTATAAACTATTACATCAGTCAACAAATAACTGGTTTGCGTTCCTAGGTGAAGCCGAAAAACCTTTCTTTTTATAGCTAATAACATCTGATGAGGAAAGTTTTACTTAGTCTCACCTATTTCAGAGACTTAAGTTAATTTTGTACTTGATGAAACATGCTCAAACATCTTCGTCAATATTATGAGATAATTTCAAAGATGAAACATGCTCAAACATCTTCGTCAATATTACATAAATATTTAGCTGTATTTATAAGTATATAAGTGTAATATGCCTAATAACATGCCCTATTCAAAAATGAAGAACTTTGATGCAAACAAATTTGAGCTTTTTCATTTTTTTCATTCTTTTTTTCATTAAACACACATACATAAATTTAGTTTAACAATCATACTTAGGTACTATATATGTGAATATGACATCTAATTTAGCCAACATTAGATGTCCTTGTGTAAACACCTAACGCTGGAGTTTCCTGGAATATTTTTTTGTATAGTACATATTTTTTATGTAGTAGGTACATATTTAATTACAAAGTATTTGATTACATTGAATATTTGAACTTGTGCTTTATAGTCATGAAAAATGTTTTATGAGAAACTGAAGTCGTTTAAATTGATCTCACGGAATCAAAAAAATTCCACCAATTCACATTCTATCGGTATGATGCTCACAATTCAAAGGTTTTTAGAGTACCTATTTTAATTGCAAGTTTATTCTTTGCATAATTCAGGCGGATTAAGATTCCAGGATAAAATAAACCTATCTTTTAAAAGCACTTTCTAAGGAGTGACTCCAGACGATAGCGTTTGGTTTAAGGATATTTGGCAGACTGTTTTCAAATAATTTGGATACTTCAAGGATTTTAACAAATCTTGTTGAGCATATAACTTAAAAAAAAAACGCAGTTGGAGTGGTTTAGTAGATAAATAGATAAATAAGGACGGGGTGTTTTCGGTAACTCCACATATATAGGCGCGTATTTTGCATGTGGGCAGGCATAATGTAATTTTTCGAGCCATGAAATCTCCCCGAAGAATTTCAACAGTCCTTTTATGCTGTGAGCAACTTCAGGGAGTGATTCCGGCACGCCGATATGTTTAACCCTGTATGCAGCGACCTTCTGACATGTCAACAACACGTGGGCGGCCGTTTCTTCCTTCCCAATACATGCCCTGCACAGGGGACTATCTGTAACACCTATGGTATATAAATGTTTGTTAAAAGAGCCATGTCCTGTGATAGTACTAGTTACTATACTGATCTGTCGCTTATTCAGTCTCATTATAACCTTGATTAAACGCAAGGTTCAGACAAGGTTTCCCTAGTTTGTCTACAGTCTAGGTTTTTTTTCAGAGCTAAGCGTGTTGAGTATTGTCAGCCCCACATTTTCGACCAATTACTCGCTTTGGAAAATAACCAACTCGCTCAACAAACCCCAAGCGGCTAAGTTACCTATACCAACTAATACCAGATGGGTACGAAATGGAAAAGAAAAAGCTGAAAACTTTGCGAAACACCTGTCAGAGGTGTTCAATTTAAATCCAAGCCTGAATGCTGAAGCTGAAAAAAAATTTAAATTTTAGCCAAGACTGCCAACTGTATCTCCCACCAAAAGCTGTAACGATAAACGAAGTCATAAACACTGTCGAAACTTACCAAATAATAAAGATCCTGGTTACAAACTGATACCGAAAGAAGTGTTAGTGCAGCTCCTGGAAAAGGCTCTAGTCTATCTTACAACCCTGTTTAATGGTATCCATAGAGTTCAATACTACACCATGCTGTGGAAAATTTTACTTATAATAACGATCCACAAGACTGGAAAGCCAGGAGAAGAAGTAATATCCTACAGACCGATAAACTTCCACGTAACACTCTCAAAAGTATTCGAAAGAAACCTGCTGCAAGAATAACGCCCATCCTAGTAGAAAAACAAGCTATATCTAAAAATCAGTTTGGGTGTAGATAACAACACTACAATAGAAAAAGTGCACAAAGTGTGCGAACAAATACAGAAATCCTTCGAATCCAATAATTACTGTTGAGTCCTCCTGGACATCTAGCAGGAATTAGACAAAGTCTGATTTAAGCGACTACTCTGTAAGATCAAAACAACATTAACTCACGGCTTCTACCTATTCATGCGGTTCGACTTATCCGACCGTATTTTCCAAGTACGTGATGATGGATAAACATCGACGTTTTACGATATAGAAGTGTCCAAGTCTTTACATATCACCATCACCTTGTGGAACGAGAACTGACCTCCAGTGACGCTGAGGGAACAGTGTGTTTCCACAAACCAATCGGTACGATATCTCGGTATGCATCTTGACAGGAGAATTACCTGGAAGAAGCACATAAAAACCGATAGAGACGAACTTAACTTAAAAATATACTTTGTTATTTATACATACATACATACATAAACACTCACGCCTGTCAGCCAGAGGGGTAGGCAGAGACTACAGACTTCCATTTGGCACGATCCTGACACACCTCTCTCGCCTCCTTCACATCCATACACCTACGCATACATGCTCGTCGGTTAAGGGTACTCCTAATTTTGCCTAAGTTTTCAATAAATCGCCAATTTGGGCGAATTTTCGCCTAGGACGTCCCTTTCCAACTCTGCCATTCACTTCTGCAACATAAATTTTCTTTGTCACTCTTTCCTCATTCATTCTTTCCACATGACCAAACCACCGTAGCATTCCTTTCTTTATCCTGGTCACAACATCATCTTGCAAACCACACTCTTCTCTTATTACACAATTTCTTACCCTATCATCCAGATTCAGCTCTAACATACTGCTTAACGACCGTATTTCTACTGCGTTCATTCTAATCTCCTGCTTCTTCTGTTATTTCTCCGTCTATATGGGCACGGAGTTCATCCTGGTCCGACAATTTATTATTTATGAACATTAAAATAAAGGAGCATGCTCAGTTAAAAGTTGTCCTTAGAATAAATACAACATAAATAAACCAATTAAATATTTATAACATTTTATAACAGTTTATAATTTATTTGATGGATACATAATTTTAATCTGACGATTGGAAAATAAGCCCTATGTCGTTTTAAAATATCTAAGGATTAATAATATTTTAAAAAGCAAAACTTAATTAATTTTAAATATTCAGTATTAAGTAAAGTACAGTTCACCTTGAAAATTCAATTAACTTACTAATGATGTTCTTAAGTTATTTAAAAAGTAATAAGTAATTAAAAATAGAAGGCAATTTTATTTTAATTAATAAAATATAGAGTATAAGTTTTATGCATAATAGGAATACGAGTAAAATATTTATTTTATGTGGAGCTTATAATTATGACAGTAAGACACTGACCTCTATATAATATACATATACGCTGGAATGGCAAAATGACTGTGCCAATTTGAGCGCCGCTAAAGGATGTCTTGAAAAATAAAATTGACGTAATATGCCAGAGTCTGTTGTCTTATTTATATTGTCCTATTTCATAAGTCTGTATTTTGAACTTTTAAACTAAAAAACGAAAGTATTTTGTTGTTTGATTGTGTATAATATTAGTTACATAATAAGAATTATTTTTATTAATAATGAGAGTGTAAGTTAGTAATCTGTAAAACTCGTTACCAAAAGGGAAGTGTATAACATTTCACAAGTGAATTTGCAGCAAATATTAAAAAAATTAAGACTATTTGATAATATAAGTACTTAAAAATTTGTTACTAATCTTAATATCATATATACCAACATGTTTGGGTGTATATTACTGAGTTTTGATATACAAAAAAATTCAATAGGGTTGTCGAGTTCCTTGTCTATAATACTTATCGATGTTCTTTCCTACTCATACGTGTTAACAAAAAAAGTCGCCAACAACGGATGATTATCAAATGTTTATTAATTAACAGGTTTCCAACTGAACCTAGACTAAAGTTATGGCTTAAAAGCATAAATATTGTGAATTGGCGTCCGAAACAATATGATCATATTTGTTGCAAACATTTTACAGACGACTGTTTTATTAGACATGAGAACTGCACCACTTTGAAAATGTGCAGTATACCGACAATATTTTCTGGTACCAGTACCAGTAAGTATAAAAGTATTAGATTATTATTTCGAATGTTTTTTTATTTCTTCTTTCCTCATTTTCCACCAAACTCAAGGGCCATAGCCAAGTGTCGAAAGATCGCCCGATGATGTCGAGCCACGTTGTATGTATGTTAGAGGGCTGCGGCTAGAGGAGATTCCTCTCCCTGGACCGCTGTAGTCGAGGTGGAGTCGTAAGGGAAGAGGAGTGTTGGTATGGCGATTAGCGATGCGCCACTCTACTAACTTTCGCGACTTTGGTGAGGCTGCACCACTTGATGCTTCCAAGTGCTCGTTTTTTCCTGGCTCCATTCACATATCGGGCTCGGGGAGTCCGTAGGCCAGCTCGTATCTCTATAAATGTTTCCTCGGTTTAAGATCTTTGTAGAATATTTAGAGACGATACCAGGAGACCCGGTATGGGTTTGGTTGCTTGAGAGAGAGAGAGAGAGAGAGAGAGAGAGAGAGAGAGAGAGAGAGAGAGAGAGAGAGAGAGATAGATAGAGAGAGAGAGAGAGAGAGAGAGATAAAGTTTAGAGTTGGATACTAGCGAACCTTTCCTATCTCATGGGTACCTCTTCTAAAGCAGTGGTGGCATTAGAGGCAACTGAACCAAGTAAATAGCCCAGGGTATCTGGAAGATAAGTATATATACTCGTATTTGTGCCATTTGCTGTAGAGACTATTGGTCCGTAGGGTGCACGTGCGGTGTAGTTCCTAAAAAACTCTATCTGCGACTAATCATCGCTGCTGGTTATGAAGT